GAACTGAATGATCTTGCTCAGGCGTGCACAGCCAGGAGCCAGGATTCAAATTCAGGCCTGCCTGGCTCCAAAGCTGCATGGCCACAATGTCATATGGAGACTCTTAGAGTCAGGATGAAAGCATCACGTATTAGAATAAAGGGAGACAAGACTTTACAGGACGATTGGGGTGACGTTGGAGGATATTAAATGCTGCGTCTTTAGATAATGGGGAGACGAGACCTTGGCGTGGATTCTTAAAGGAAGCTACTAAGGGTCTTCACTGAGGTGGATGAGGAACATTCATGTCTTGAGTCAGAGGTTTAAGCCGGTCAAGAGGTTTCCTCTAACCCAGAGATTCTGTGATGTTACTTTGAACTCTTGGGTAGAACCATGCGCTAAGGGCAAGTAAATATCTCCATCCTTATTGCTGATGTCCCACAGAAGTGATACCAGGAGCCTCTCCATCCAACAACCCCCTGGCGTGTTTGTACACTTTGAATGTGGAAGACTGTGTGTCCATAGTGGAGGAGTGGATGGGCTGTCAATGAGATGTTTCTTTTTAAACTCCAGTCTTCACTACGTGTCAGCTTTAGAGGCTGACCTAAATGAGGCAGGGTGCTCTAGTAGAGACTGCATGGGCTTTGGAACTGGTTAGCCTTGGGATGGAATCTCAATTCCACCTTTTGTCAGTTGTGCAACCCAGACTGTGGGCAATGTACCTAACAAACTGAGCCCCCAGTTTTCTCACCTATAAATAGGGACATGTCCACCTTAGAGGAAAGCACCTCACTCATTTTCTCAAAGTCCACTATGTTAAGCACTTCGTCCATCAGATGAGCCCAGCACCTGACCCTATCAACATCGTCATCAATCGTCAGCATCGGCATCCTGGTTTTACACTTGTTAGAACTTCTCCATGCCATTGGACTGTGAAGCTCAAATACCTCTTTTCAAGGAGAAACAATGTGGGGAAAGTTCAGTCAACTTGAAATAAGATGACCCTAGATCAAGGCCAGCTCAAACAGTAGGTGACTGAGATCTTGGACAATGGATTTAAAACCACCTTCACAGGATTATTATGAGCACTGATTGAGGGGAAAGCTAGAAAAGTACTTTGTAAACACATAAAGCTTGACTAAACTGTTAGGCCGAGTGGCAAAATGCTATTCTGCTATATCTTTGAAAGAATTCAACTAAAATTTCATAAGCCTTGGGTTCACATGAGTAGTCCTTTGCTAACATGTGTGCAGGATCCAGAAAGGCTCCCTCTTTGAGGCTCACTTTGCTGCTTTCTCTGTTTTTTTGCCTCCAAGGCCATGTGCCCCTCTCTCACTGGCTGGCGTTGATGATGGGCTGATTCTGGCCTGGTCCCTGCACCGGCAGTGGAATGTTGACCTGTCTGCTGAGCCCTGGAGCCCACGGCTGCCAAGGAGACCCAGCTGGAGCCAATTTGTTGGGCTGAGTCACAGTGTCTGGTTGGGACAAGTTGGGCACTTGAATCATAAGTGTCTCCCCGGGACCTACTCAGTGCTCAGTACTTTGCTAAGTTCCTAGGTGTGGGTGGTGGTGAGGCACAGTTGGTCCCTTCTTCTGAGGAGTTTCTTTTTCTAGAGGAAAGGTTGCCATAAGGTGCTTGATAACAACTCTTGAGTTCTTTAGGACTCCCTATCATTTAGGACTAAGTTCTTTGGTAACGTGATAATTACTACAAAATCCAAAGTTGGGGGAGTTCAGGGACGGTTTGAGCAGAGTTTAAGAAGGTTTATTATTGGTTATCCAGGGGATGTTCGTGAAAACATTCATTAGTGCTGCTCAGGAGAAAGAAAACATAGTGTCAGCAGAGTACCCCAACTGGCAACTTCCATGGGAAAGCACAGGCAGTCAAGAAGAGCCTTGCTTCACAGAACAGCAGGATTCCAGAGGCTTAGCAGGGCCGGCGCGGCTGGCCGGAGTTGACACTGCAGCTCCAGCGACAGAACTGTAGCTTGCAAATGCGGGTCTGTGAGTTCAACTCTTGCTTTTGCATTGTACATGCTGTTATGTATTTTTCTTTCTGTTACCTCAGTTTTGGTCTCGAAAGGAACTCCGTCAGACACTTGCAGAATATTCACCATCAGGCAAGCAGTAAATTTGTCTTTGGGGAGCTGCTTAGGGAATCACACTCTGACTTCAGGTTATTGTAGAATCAGGAAAGCTGGGTTCTGATCTTATCCTTGCAGCTGTTCTGCTCCTTGCTACACAACGTGTGGTCCATGGTCTAGCAGGATTACCGGGGAGCTGGTTAGAAATGCAGAATCTTGGGCTCACCTAGACACGTGATTCGGCATCTATGTCTTAAGATCCTCAGGTGATTGATATGCACGTAGAAGTTTGAGAAGCGCTGGCCTGAATGCTAAGCTCAAGGAAAGCATAGACTGTTTCTATCTTCTTTTTTATTTTCTATCCCCAATGCCTATTTAAAATTTAGCACATGGTAGCTTCCAAATCCCTAAATCTTTGTCTGATCTTGAACTTATCTGAATGTCTGGGCTCTTTGTAAACTTCTAGGGATTTAATTGTCAAGTGGTGTAGTGAGAGGGATGATGAGTGGAAATGGGCCAACTTTCAGTGGTTCAAAAACTGAAGTGAGTGTTAGAATCACAGTGGTGACGGTGGTTTTAAGATGGATGCCTTTGACCTACTAAGTCAAAATCTCTGAAGGCGAGTCATAGGATTTGTATGTTTTAAAAATTTCCCCTCATGTTCAAAAATGTTTATTAAATATACGTATAATAAAAAAACCTTGAAATGTCCCTCCAGAGGAAATGGATAAATACAATTGAATACAACTCAGAAGTTTAAATTAAGGAAATAGAGCTACATGTATAAACATGAATAAATTTAAAAAAATTTTTTTGAGAGAATAAAGTTGTAGAAGGATGTGTGACATATGGTTCCATTTATTTAAAGTTTAAAAAAATTCATATGTATGTAATTGAAATATACGTATGTAGTAACAATGTGAAGACTTTAATGGGGCTGATAAACACCAAGTTCAGGGTAGTAGTTAACTTTGAGAGGAAAGAAGGGGAATGGATGGGAGCTTGAGCAGTCCCTTCATGTTTTATTTCTTAATAAAGAAAGAAAGAGTAAAGAAAAAAATGTTGCAGCTGCAAACATGGAAAAATAAGATTTTTTCCAAAGGAATGACTACGTAACTATTCATGGTACTATTCTCTATAATTTTTCTGAATGCTTAAAATATCTTATTATAAAATGACTGAAATAGAACTCTCCTGGTAATTGTGATGCAGAGTGTTGGCATTTGGGAATTCTTGCCTTAGATGCTCCTAGGGCCCTTTCTGTTCTCAGTGTGTCTGTACACAGAGACGCACCAAACCACCGAACCACCCTCTTGTGTTCTCCTACATGATCGATGCCTAGGAGGACTTGCCCAAGGCCTGTGGCTTCCTTGCATTCTGTATTCTGTCCTGATGAGATGCAGCCCCACCAATCTAACTCTGCTTTAAGGACCTAGCCTACCAGGCGCTCCTCTCTGTTGTCTGCTTCTCTTCTTTATTAGAGGAGAGGCTCTGTCCTACAACTACCCTAATCTTAGAGCTCTGACCTTAGGGTCCCCTCCTGCCTTCCATTCCCAAGCTGCATTCATTTTCATAACACCTTCACTGACACTTCAGTTCAGTGGTAGCACTTAGTTATCCGTGGGAATCCCAAGAGTTTCCATTGCCTACCCCAAGAATCCACATTTGCAGTCAGTTCTCTTATTGCTGTACCTGCTTTCATGACTGCCTTTCTATACCAGAAGTGTCCCTAAAGTTTAATCCATCAGGATGACACCTGTTGGTATATGACTCAGGGAATGTTTAGAAGGAAGAAGTGGCTCTAACAGCTGGTGCCAAAATGGACTTTTAATTTGAATGTTGTTATTATTATTGTTAATATACTCTATAGCAGTGGTTCTAAACCAAGGATGATTTTTGCCCCTAGGGACGTTTGGCAGTGTCTGGAGACATTTTTGTTTTTTTCAAAACTAGGGGAGTGCTTCTGGCATAGAGTGAATAGAGGCCAGGGATGCTGTTAAACATTCTCTCACGCGCGGAACAACTCCACCCCTGTCATAAAGAATTATCCAGTCCAAAATGCCAATAGTGCTGAGGCTGAGAAACCTGCCTTACAGATCCTTAGACCATGAATATCCTCCTGTCAGTGAGAGAGAGTGGACAGGGCTGCAGCTCCTTGAGAGGACCAAGCAATGTAGGAATCCCCGTGAATATATGTACAGACCATTCCTGTATTATCTTAATGGCGTGATGGGGGTTAGGGAGTTGATGGTGTTGGAAATGGAAGATGAGAAGAAATTAAGGAGATTCAGGAAAAGCTGCAGAGGAACAAAGTCCAGGTGGTGGGGAGAGTAGAGGGAAGCTGCCTGTGATGCCTTTGAACTTGGCACCTTGCTATAAATAGCACTCTCATGCAACAGAAATACAGGATAGCTTATTTAAAAATATTCCCAATGCAAAAAGTGGTAGATAGAGTGATGGCCACTAGTGAGTCATGCTAGCCTCTGTCCACACTGGTCTGCAATGGGTTTTGCTGTTCTTCTCATCAAGAGGTGGAGTCTATTTTGGTTTTCTCCCTCTTGGAACATTTCTGCCATCATGTGAGGAATCCCAGCCTGATAAAGCCTCTTTGAGCAAAAGGCCCAGGTGTCCAGCTGTCCAGCCCAGCACAGCTGCCAGCTAACCTTCCAGCTCCCTGTAGCTCTATCAGTGAACTCAGAAGAAATCAGCTCACCACACCCCCCAACCCCAAAGCATGGAGTAGTGAGAAATAATAACTTGTGGTTATTTTAAGCCACTCAATTTTGGGGCGGGTTGCTACACAGCCATAGATAACTGGATATTGTATATTAGTGACTTCATTTAAAGCAGTGCGTGATCTATTTGCCTTAGAATCTGTGTGTAAATATCAGATCATGGTTCAGAGAAACTGAGTTCTTCCTTGTTTGTTTCTTGTAGCACTTCTCAGAACTTCTGGATGAGTTTTCCCAGAACGTCTTGGGTCAGCTCCTGAATGACCCTTTCCTCTCAGAGAAGAGTGTGTCGATGGAGGTGGAGCCATCGCCAACGTCCCCGGCGCCTCTCATCCAGGCTGAGCACAGCTACTCCCTGTGCGAGGAGCCGCGGGCCCAGTCACCATTCACCCACGTTACCACCAGTGACAGCTTCAATGATGGTAAACTCGGAGCAGGGGAGACACCTGGGACCTGGGCACCTGTGACTCTGAGCTCTTTGAGGGTGTGGAGTGTGTGTTATATTGTCGTCAGCACCCACTTTAGCCACACCCCTGCTGTGTGTAAAGCTCTGTGCTTGGGCTGAGGGGAAATGCAGAGAGGCACAGGACACATTTATCTACCCGAGACTGTACTCTGGGAACTTGTAACTGAACGATAGTAATTGCTTTCTTTGACCCTGTGGTTTGGGCAGCACAGCATCCTTTTACAAATCAGGTTGGCCTATTTGATTGATAATTCCAGTGAGTCCATTATTTCAAGAGGTCATGTCATTTTTTATGAGAAAGAATTTTTGTGACCACTCTTCTCCATAGAAGCTCCTTGGGCATCCTCTTAACCCATTTTCAGCATGTTCCGTTGACCCCATGTATATGAGATCTTGGTGAGCATTCCTAGACTTTCTTGTTGGTGACCCTTTTATGCCCACGATCAATGCCATTGGTATGGTATTTGTTAAAGGTCTAGTTTTCCTGGCCTAAGATGTTTTGATCGTTTCTCTATAGACCTTTAATTGGTATATGCTATATCTTCCCAACTCTCTAAGGTATGTATACCTTTTTAGTTTGATTGTCTATGTTTTGTTTTCCTAGAAGTATAACCAGCTGTTTTAATGCCTTTAGTAAGTTTTAAAAACTGTAGTCTCTAATCTTAGTTCAACATATGCCTTCTCCTCAGAAGAGGATGATGTGATAGGAAACAGTCAGTAACTTGACCTCCTCTGGCTTGACCTGGGTATCCTGCCTGACTCCTTATACCACTGTACATATGGCAGCATCTTTTGCAGTGGCTGCCTAGGGAACAATTCCCTCATGTTTCCTCTCGTTAACGGCAAATGCCTGTATCTACTTCTTCAAATAGAGTGTCAGCTTTGTGGGGGATGCATCTTTCAGTTGGGCTTCAGATCTGTTACCAGCCTCTGAAAGAACCAACTTTGGGACCAATAAAATATCATATCTTGGGACAGAAAATGCTATAGGTTTTTTCTTTAGCATCTCAGATACATTATTCCTTTGAGTAGAGGTGCACTGATCAGCAGCCCAGGAAATTTGACCTTATATCCTCAGTGAAGGGAATGCCCCAAATCTGTGAGTGGATTCTTTCTTGGCTGGACCCTGCTGGAGCCTAATTATATGCTCAGATTTTTCCTGGCAAGAGGTTAGGTGCATAATGACTTAATCCTTCTCTGTAGTTTGTCCACTTTCTCTACCTCAGATCAGGAGAGTCGGGTGAGGGCAAGTCTCCTGGGAAGAAACGGAGGGAGCAGAACTAAAACAAAAATTTCAGCTTAGAGAAATTCGTGCAATCCCTGCCTTAGTTTTATTATTTTAAGAGTGGACTCTGTTGTTAGATGAAGTGTTGGGCTAAATGACTTTTAAGATTCCTTCCAATCTTGAGGTTCTGTGTGGATATGATTTCTGTTTCACATTCGTACCTGCCTTTGTTCATGATTTTCCCCCGTACTCGCTTCACTGCCTTGCCTATATTATTCCTGCAATTCCTTTGATGCCTCTGTTTTCAAGCCCTATTTCCTTTGTGGAAGTCATTTCCAATACCTCTTGTATTAGTTATCTATTGCTGTCTAACAAATCTCCCCAAATTAATGAATTGAAATAATCATCATTTATTACCTCTCATGACTTCTGTGGGTAGGCAGTTCAGGAGTGGCTCACTGGGATGGTTCTGGTTCAGGATCTCTCGTGAGGTTGAAATCAGATTTTGGCTGGGGCTGAGGTCATCTGAAGACTCTTCCAGGGTTAGAAGATCTACTTTCAAGGTTTCTCCCTCACATGGCTGGCAAGTTGATGCTGGTGAATGGGTTCCTCTCCGTGTGGGCCTCTCCATGGGGCTGCTTGAGTGTTACCACAACATGGCAGCTGGCTTCCCAAAGAGTGAGGAATGCATTCTTGGTATAGTTGGGAGCATAGCTGCCCTCCAAAGAGTGAGGGATCCAAGAGCCCAAGGCAGAAGCTGAGAGACCCTTTCTGACCCAGCTCTGAAAGTTGTTCTGTCCTGATTCATTGTGACAGGAGACCATACAAGGACATGAACGCCAGGACAGGATCACTGGGGAATGACTCAGAAGCTCACTGCCACACTTCTCCTCATAGTGATGTCTGTAAAGTGACTGCTTCCTTGTCTGAACTCCTTTATTACCTTTTACCAGTGCCTTCAGTGTAGCCATTCATTCACCTAGTGGTTCTTGAGTTGTTGAGGGGGAAAGTGTGGAAGACTAAAGCATGTTCCTCACCTTTGGTGCTGGCAACAGGACAGACCCCTGCTCTGCTCTTCCATGCATCGCTTGCCCCCTAACTGTGCAGACACACTGGGCTGCATGTATTTGATCAGGTGGATTTCTTCACTTATAACAATTGTCTTTTACAGGATCAGGCACAGTGCCATGTAGGAATTGGTGTTTTGTAATTGCTTTATGATTCATTCTAAAATTCATTCCATAGCTATTTATTGAGTACCAACCTTGTGCTTAACCTACCAGGGACTATTCTAAGCATTGAGAGAGGAGGCAAAGGAATGTGCACAATTTATAGAGATCTCTGCCTCATAGAGTTTACATTCTAGGACGTGAGAGGGAGGAATAGAAAATACAAAAAATAGAGAAGTAAAATATGTAGTATATTAGATGGCGATCAGTGATAGACAGAAAAATAAATCAGAAAAAGGAGTTGCTGGAGGAGGGGCGGAAGGATGCATCCTAGTCCATTTGGACAGCAGACTAGGTGGCTGACAAACGACAGAAATTTATTTCTCTCCGTTCTTGAGTCTGAAAGTTGGAGATCAGGCTGCCAGCATGGTCGGGGGAGGGCCCTCTTCTGGTTGTAGACTTCTCGTTGTTTCCTCACATGAAAGGAATGGCTAGGGAGCTCTGTGGAGTGTCTTTTATAAGGGTACTAATTCCATTCATGAGGGCTCCACTCTCATGATAGAAGCACCTCCCAAAGACCCTACCTCCTAATACCATCACATTGGGCATTAGGATTTCACTATATGAATTTTAGGAGGGGCACACAAACACTCAAACCATAGCAGGGGGAACTCAAACCTTAAATAGGATAGACAGGGAAGGCCCTTCTTTGAAGGTAACATTTGGCAAAGATCAGCAGAGGATGAGGGAAAGAACTAGATGTCTCAGGTAGAGGCTTTTAGGCAGAGGAAACAGCAAGTGCAAAGGCCCTGTGGCAGGCATATGATAACAATGTAGTGATATTTATATTGTGTTCAGACAGTTATCATCTGTGGACTAGTCAGCCGTTCCACAGCCTTGCAGTTCTAGAATATGCAGATTAGAGATGGCCTAAACAATCTAGGCAGATTCACTTTTCTGTTCAATTCCACATATGTTTGTTGAACACCTACGGTGTGGCAGGCATAGTCCTAGATACTTGTGGGACACAATAGTAAGACTTAGATCCTGCCTATACTGTAGCTCAGAGTCTACTGAAAATGCCATGTACTCCACTACTTTATCAGACAGGATATGAGCAATGTCCCAAGAGGAAATTACACTGTAGAAGTTCAGAGCAGAGAGAACACGTGCACTGAAGATAAAGGGAAAGTTACATGAATGAGGCAGAATTTTACTCGGGCCTCGAAGCTTGAAGTAGAGTTGAAACAGTGGCAATGGTTGGAGGCAAGCAGATAGAAGGCTAGGACATTGATTCTTCTAAAACAAGATTCCTAGTGAAATGACTGCAAATAAGCAGATTTCCCAAAGTTCAGGGTCCATTTCTCTTCCGTGATGATGCCATTCTTTGTTTCTTAATTCTAATCAATATAAATGCAACATAAAGGAACCCATGGGGGCCACCTATGGTAATAGCTTAGTGTGGAGAGAAATAATCAGTTGATCTTTTCCAGGAAGGCTTTCTTATCTTTAGGCCAAAGCACAGACCATTTAGTTCCCCCAACTGGCGCTCATTCTATTTATAGATCCTGTGTGGCAATGCACGGTGCTAGTCATTTGCTGAGAACAGGTACAGCAGGCAGATATATTTTGCAAACAGTTTCTGATCCACAGTTTGTCTTCGTTAAGAACCAGTTTTTCTTGGAGTAAAAGCTACCTTCCTATGCCAGCAAAAGCATTTTCATAAGTAGGAAATAACGAACACAGGTAGTAACTGTTTAAGATGTATGAAATTGAAGTTAGGCAGGTGCATGAATGGATGGGGAGTTTGCCCAGGAAAGCTGGCTCTAGGTCTTAGCGTCAATTATTTTTCTGAGTTCTATGGGTGGGCAAATGTTTGGGAAGAGAATTACTGTATTCATTTGAACCCCAGTTTGCATCCCCCTTATGGGAGGGTCAGTCCACAGGGCTGCCTCTTCAGCTGAGCGCTCTGTCAGGCAGATCACCTCCCCAACGGAGGAGGACGGTTCTTTAGGCGACGCATAAATAGGCACCATTTAAAAATTCCTGTTTGCATTAAATTTGATATTCTGTATCTCTTAACGTTGTGAAAACAGCTTAAGCAATACTAGGAGTCATTGTTTTGAGTGATAGATAGTGAGTGAGTATTTCATTATACCCGGGAAAGCTAATGATTCACATTTTCTTGTCCCGTATTACTTAGATTAAATGCAATTCTTCTGTAATTGCTTCTAAGCCTGAAACAAAGTGATAAGATAAATGCTTTGAGTAGAGACTTTCCCAGATTACTAGGATTTTTCTCTTGATTCTTCTCCCTCTTTCTCCCTTTTTTCTCTCTCTTTCTCCCTCCCACCATAACCCTTCTTTCTTTCTCTTCTTCCTTCCTTTTTCTCTCCCTGCTTACCTTACTCTCCCTCCTCCCTCTCCCACCCTCCTTGAACACCAGGCCAATTATAGGGCAGATGTCGATGTTCTTATTCTGTTATTCTGTTGTGAACCTCAGAGGGACTGTAAATTCCTAAAATTATATACAAAATTTTGGGCTATCAACATTTGTCAGTT